ATAGTCTAGACTTCCTCGAATTAGAATTTCTGGAATTCAGACACATCTTAAAATCTGAACTTTACTATTGACATAAATATGAAGCCTTTTCTTCCATGAATCAGAACAGTACCCTCAATACCAAACATGTCGGATGTTCGGTTTACAGGAGTTGTATCGTTATTTTTGTCTTCCTTTACAGATTGTAAATGTTTTTGAATAAGATATTTCATAAATTTTAAACATTTCACAAGACGTCTTAGTTTCACAAATTACGATATTTGTTTAGCACATTTTTTTTCATTTGTTTTCAGTTATTTTTTTGTACATTTATGTAGTCAATCTACACTTTGAATAATGACGAATCAACGTTACAAACTATCTTTTGTATCCTAAAATCCAAAACTTAATAAAAATTTTAAGCTTGCCATTGAGGCCTTTTCTTCCTAGAGTCCGATAGGTATCCTCAGTAGACGTATGTTCGGTTTAAAGGAGTTGTACTGTATTTGTTATTCATGATTATTATTATTATTATTATTATTGTTGTTGTTGTATTTATGTTTGCATTTGTCTGGTTTGGTTTGGTTTGGTTTGGTTATTTTTATGGTTTATCAACCCATTGGTTCATTTAATGTCGAAATTTAGCGTTTTTTTTCTTGTATTTAAATAGAATTTTTTTAAAGAGTGAGACTGCTATTAGCTATTGTTATTTTTTTTTAAATTATATTTTTGAAATCAGTTTTATACTTTTATTTAGTGTTGCAATGATTGTCATTTTGCTATAAAAATACATTATTGGGCATTTTACTATAAAAAATATATTATTGATTTGTATTTGGGGATTCATTATTTGCCTATAGCTGGGACCCTAACAGGTGCTACTACACCGAGACAGGTTGGACCTGATAAAAACAGCAGTTAAGAGGTCGTTCCACGCTCTTCAAAACCTCCAATCTTCCGATCAAAAGCTTTGCTGCCGGATGTAGTTTATCGTCATACCTAGGATGAGTGTACTTTTGTAATTTGCTTATTATTTATTTACTTTATTTATTTATTCATATTTTTTGTTTATTGTGTATATTTAGGCAGCAATTTTTCATTGATGCATGTTTCATTAAATAATATAGACAAGTTTTGTCTATTTATTTTAAGTAAGTTCCTTTCATATTGTCTGATAAGCTTAATAACATTATCATTGAAAGACGAAAGGAAATCACCATACTGATGCCTGTTTAAATCCAATCTAAGCTTTCCGCTTACATGAGCCATTATCAAAGGTAACATTTACTTTTCAATATATCAACCAATACACGAAATAATAATGATAGTCTGTTTTTGTTGCATGAAAAATTTCAAAGCAACGACTAACTTGTGTATACGAGACGCGGAAGTGAAAATCGCATCGCAGCTCGTGACGTCACACATGACCACGCGAGAGTGAAAACGAGAAGTATTAAGTATGGGAAGCCGTTGGTATAAATCAATGGCTTCAGTTATCAATTATAGGCATTTAAGAATATTTGTGGAGATTTCGTAGTTTATTTTGTTCAGGTTAGGTTTCAACTGTTTTATGTATATAGCTTCAAGAATGTTTAGTTTTTGTTTATATATATATATATATATGTATATATAATGTCGATAAATATTTGTTATTGACAATAATTCATTTTTTCAGATTACTTGATAGAGCAGCGACCATCATGAACAACCAATGAAATTCTCTACCTTGGGTTCTGCCGGTAAAATCTGCGGAAATAACGTTGATTTTGAAATGAAACGAAAATTTCTTTTTTTCATAGCGATCGGTGTAGTGCTTGCAAGGATTGCATCAGTGACACGTTTTTTTTTTTCGACATCTATTTGTCCTACATTTTTAGTTTGTTGGATGCATATGAACCCAATCAAGGACACATGTGCGTCCACAGAACTTCTTATCGACAGATTTAAACAGAGGGCAATGCCTTGGTTCACTGGCATGCGCGCACGCACACACAGACACACACGCGCGCGTGCGCACACACATACATACACACACACGTTATACATATATATATATATATATATATATATATATATATATATATATATATATATATATATATATATATATATATATATATATATATATATATATATATATATATATATATATATATATATATATATATATATATATATATATATATATATATATATATATATATATATATATATATATATATATATATATATATATATATATATATATATATATATATATATAGAGAGAGAGAGAGAGAGAGAACGAGAAAGAGAGGGAGGGAGGGAAAGACTGAGTGATAGCTGTGATGTGTAGGTACTATTACTACACACCTCTATAAATAACCGACACACACCACACAAACTCACACACAGACACACGCATATATATATATATATATATATATATATATATATATATATATATATATATATATATATATACTCGACTCCAAAAAAATAAGACTAATGAAAATCTACATATTTATATACGAAGCTCTACCCAAAATTTCGAAAAATTAGAAAAGTATACATCCGTACATATCTATCTATCTATCTATCTATATATATATATATATATATATATATATATAAGGGTTCAAAAATAGGTATATGGTAGCAAAACGGGCACCCAAAACATATTGTGTTGATTATACAAAATATCGAAGCGTAATAATACTTAATGTATATCTACTTTTGCAAGCAAGGCATACATTTACATATATATATATCCATAATTCTCAAAATATGGGTGTATGTATGTGTGTGTGTGTGTGTGTGATCGGATGTTGTTTATACATTTCCACAGTTTTTATCTGATTTCGATGATTGTTTAATAGATAATTCTTCAGTGTCGGTTTGAGTTCAAATTGTTGGCGTCAATGGCTCTCCACTACTTCCTGTCCATTATACCTCTCAGCAACGTTTTACTGTTTAATGTCTGTTCTTGGATATATATCTTTCATAAAAAAGTTTAATAAAAATAAATAGTTTAAATTGTTACAATTATTTATTATTATACAGTTCCTTTTTCAGCACCCCCCCCAATTCAAATTGTCATCTCCCCCCATTTGGGGATGTGACTCAGTTGCACCCATTTGTTGTTACTAATATTGGTTAGACGGGTTATACTGCTAGTATATATATATATATATATATATATATATATATATATATACTATGAGTAATAAATATAATTTTTTTTCACCGTATCGTACAACTCAAAGTTTCATGCACGCAATAATCTCTAGGCACTGACAGAATAAAAACTGACCGTTTTAAAATTTAAATACTAATAACCTACTGTTAAGGCAGTGGAGCAGTCTATTTAAAAAATAAAATAGAATAAAATACTATATATATATATATATATATATATATATATACTATTTACATTATTCGGACTAGTGTCATCATCTTTGTCACCATATTTATTACAACGTTTCGGCCGTTGTACGCTCCGGCCTTCTTCAGGTGGCTGGAGCGTACAACGCCCGAAACGTTGTAATAAATATCGTGACAAAGATGAGGACAATAGTCTGAATAATGTAAATAGTGTACATAATACCTCATCTCAGAAATATAGACATATATATGTGTGTGTGTGTGTGTGTGTGTGTGTGTGTGTGTGTGTGTGTGTGTGTGTGTGTGTGTGTGTGTGTGCAGGGTCTGATAGGTAAATCGTCGTCATTTTATATTTTTAATTTTTGCGCATCCGTTTTTTTAGGGTTTTTTTTTTTTGCTTTTGCATTTTGGTAACTGCACATAATAATAAGGTCATTTTAGCACTGTCTTTGAGAAAAAGAGCACCTTGACACAATTCACTCCGCCAGAAATTTGAAAATGGCATGCTGTACTGCTTGGCATTCGCGCCGGAAGCTCCAATACGAACATAAGTGTTTGGGTGTCAATCTAAAGAAAGTGCAGAGGATTTGGAAAGAGTTGGATGAGTCTAATGGTGATTACGAAAGTGTCGGGAATTATCACTAGTGTTGGCAATGTTATGCCTCCATTCATCTTCCAGCAGAGTCTCAGAGTCAACACGGAGGGCTACATCAAGTGCCTTAAGGAGATAGTGCTGCCGTTGGTCAAGAGGGCATCTACTGGAAGGTGCCTATATCTGACAACAGGATTCTGTACCATGCCACACAAGCAGGAGAACCCAGTCATGGCTGTCAGACAATTTCTGCGTTCACATCACCCCTTATATCTGGGCACCTAACTCCACAGTCTGCAGACCCCATTGATTATTATGTGTTGGGCGCAGCCGAGGAAGAGACCAACAAAACTCCTTGTAACACCAAAGATGAACTGAAGACAAGGATTTAAACAAGACCACCCAGAAGAGTTGCAGGAGATCCCGAAGTCATCCGGAGGCCGTGGTTGAAGGCAATGACGATTTTATTGAATAAATTTACTCTTTAGTATTTCAACGTATTTTTGTGTAATTTTGGTAGATATATCTGCTAAAATGAGACGTCAGTGTTATTTTCATTTTTACGTCATGTAGACGACAATTATCCATTGCACCCTCTGTGCGTGTGCGTGTGTGTGTGTGCACTTCCTGATAACCGTGGCTCACACAAGGAACTGGCAGTCGCGGAAAACTCTTAGCAGGGCACCTTTTTTATATTACATAGACTTACTGAAAATTGTATTTTTCATATTGTACATTTGGTATCGTCTTCTCTATAGCGTTGGCGTCTTTGACAAGAAGTTTAATATTGTATTTAAATAATTTAAAATATGTGTGCGCGTGCGCGTTTGTGTGTGCGTTTGTGTGTGCGCGCGCGTAAGAATGAAAAATATTCCGTCTGACAATCTAAAAATAACATCCATATAAGAGCGATCTAATTCCTAGCAGAAATTTATGTCGATAAACCACAGACGTTTTTTCCAGCAGACAGGAATACATTTAGAGACACAAATATATATAAGCTAAATGTTAGAATTACAGTTGCAAACACGCACTGACTTGTAGAGTGAGAAAGAAAGATAAAAAGATGACATATATTAAACTATTTCTCTCTACCTTAATTGTCTCTGTTTCTTTTTTCTTTTCTCTCTCTCTCTCTCTCTCTCTCTCTCTCTCTTTCTCTTCTATAAGCACAAGTACGTCTTTTTACTTTTAGCGAAAGAGGTACACAGATCGCAACATGAACATTAAAAATTACCAGAAAAAAGTTATTTTTTTCTATCTAAATCTTCGTCTTTATTTCTCTTTCTTTCTTCCTCTTTCTTTCTTTCTTTCTTCCTCTTTCTTCCTTTCTTACTTCCTTCCTCTTTCTTCCTTTCGCTTTCTTTCTCCCTCTTTCTTTCGTCCTCTTTCTTTTCTCTCTCTTTATTTCTTCTTCTTTCTTTCTTTCTTTCTCCTTTCTTTCACTTTTTTCTTGTTCTTTCTTTCTCTTTCTTTCTTTTTCTTTCTTCTTTATTTCTCTTTCTTTCGTCCTCTTTCTTTTTTCTCTCTTTATTTCTTCTTTCTTTCTTCCTCTTTTTTCTTACTCTTTCTTTCTTTCTCTTTCTTCCTTTCTCTTTCTTTCTTCCTCTTTCTTTCGTCCTCTTTCTTTCGTCTTCTCTCTTTTTTCTCTCTTTATTTATTCTTCTTTATTTCTTCCTCTTTCTCTTTCTTTCTTCCTCCTTGTTTCTTTTTTCTCTTTCTTTCTTCCGCTTTCTTTCTTCATCTTTCCCTTTTTTTGTCCTCTTTCTTTCTTTCTTTTCTCTTTCCCTCTTCCTCTTTCTATCTTCTTTCTTTCTTTCATTCTATCTCTTTCTTTCTCTTTCTTGTGGAGTTCGTTCCTCGCCGAGTCCGCCACACTTTCGGCCTTGTGCCACATCTAAGCTACGCTTAGAAAATCCTTTGGGGTTTTTAAACATAGTGTAATAGTCATCAAGCTTTATCTTGCTAGATCAATTATGACTGAGTAGTGAGTTCTATCCTGACTGGGTGCTCCACACTTCTGGCCTTGTGCCACATCTAAGCTACGCTTGACAGAATTCCTGGGTACCTCGACGTTATACATACAGGCATATATTCATCCGTACAAAAAGCCGACAGGCACATCTGATTTTTTCTTTCTTTCTCGTTCTTCCTCTATCTTACTGTCATTTTCTATATATCTATCTCTCACTGAAACATGGGCAAGTAGGACACGCTCTGAAGAGCTAGTCACACATTTGCCGCCGGCATAGTGAGTTCGGTTCTTAATAGGGTGCCCCATTTTTGGCAAGAATAAATTAAGCCTTTGGAAGAGCCTGTTACAGTGATGGACAGCAATCAATTTTTGCTGACCACTCGTAGCTTAGTCATTTTAATGTTGATTAGGTGCTCCTTAGTATAGCCTTGTGCCAGACGTTACTGAAACTGAGAAATACAAGAATACCATGTTCCGTAAAACTTAATTTTGTACCAGACTAAACATAATCCTGATAACTACGTAAAAAAGAAAAAAGAAAATAGATCTCATTGCCAGGAGATAAGTACAAAATCGCCAACACTACCAAACAGGATATTCAAGAATGTGTTGAAAGAGTCTCAGTCCGACCAGACAAGATTGGTAAATATTTGGTAAGATTTTGGGGAGTGGGTCGGGTTGACACCTTTCAGTACACCACTGAATACACACAGACACACACACAGACACACATACATATAAACATACGTACATATATAAAGCTCTACTTCTGTATGGAGCACTGTTTTTTTTTTTAAATAAAAACAAAAATACTAAAGAACCCTGGACTAACGTATTCTTTCCTATTTTTCTACATACCTGCACGCACACACACACACACATATATATATATATATATATATATATATATATATTCAATCATCATAGGGTGAGGAGAAAATGTATATTTATTATTAATATAAATTATAGGTCTGCTATTATAAATCGACCGCTATTTGATTAGCACCAGCGCTAAATGTATGATATTTATATACATATATACATATATATATATATATATATATATATATATATATATATATATATATATATATATATATATATATATATATATATATAATTGTTTACTATTTCCATGTATATATGCGTGTGTGTTTTGTGTGAGTGTGTGTGCGTACATATGTGTATTATATACATTATAATATAGCATACCTTAAAACTATATTTTGTCATATAAATATGTATATATGCCATATAAATATGAATATATTTATGTATATATATTTATATCGATAAATTTGTATACATATTTATGTAGATAAATATATACTTTTTATTCTTCTCTTACTTATGCATATATCTAAACATTTATATATATATATATGTTTTAAAACTTATATAATATATATATATATATATATAATCATTTCATACATTTTGACTTTTTCCTTTCTCTTACGCTCTTGCTCAGACTCTCACTATTTATTTCCCTCTGCCTTTCTTCTGCTTTGAACACATTCATTCACCCACTCTTTCTTATCTATCTATCTATCTATCTATCTATCTATCTATCTATCTATCTATCTATCCCCCACATATACATATCAAATTCAAATGCGTTCTTACAGTGTCACTCTTTTAGAGAATAAAACACAATAGTAAAATATCATACTAACCTGATAATAAAATCATGTTTCTTACCTCGCACTCTCCTTCTGTCTGTCTGTCTGTCTGTCTGTCTGTCTGTCTCTCTCACTCTATCTATCTATCTATCTATCTATCTATCTATCTATCTATCTATCTGTCTGTCTATCGATGTATCTATCTATCTATCCATTTCAATCTGTTTACATCTCTATCTCAATCTGTTCATTATCCATCTATCTATCTATCTATCTATAACTAAAATGCGGTATTTTTTTAAACATTTCACCCCAAGCAATGCGAGGGCACGCAAGGACTGACAAGGGGTGAAATTAAGAGTAAAGTGGGTGCTTGAGAAAAGGATATAAAGAATGACAGGGATCAAGAGCATGGCATTAGAAGATGTCGACTGACATTACATTTAAATTAGTATTAATCTGAATATATATATATATATTGGACAATGTGGTCAGCACAAAGCCGTGACAGACTATTTCATGATTGGATGCAATATTCAGGCCTGAAAATTGTTGAAGCTTGAAGACTGTCGCCGTCTGGTATTGAACACAGTGTACAATTTTATATTTACATATGCTTTCATTCTTTCTTTCTTTCTTTCTCCTTTCTTTCTCTTTTTTCTTCCTTTTCCTTTCTCTTTCTTTCTCTTTCTTTCTTCTTCTTTCTTTCTACTTCCTTTTTCCTCTTTCTTCCTTTCTCTTTCTTTCTCATTCTTTTTTTCCTCTTTCTTTCGTCCTCTTTCTTTCGTCCTCTTTCTTTTTTCTCTCTTTATTTCTTCTTCTTTCTTTCTTCCTCTTTCTTTCTCTTTTTTCTTACTCTTTCTTTCTCTTTTTTCTTACTCTTTCTTTCTTTCTTTCTTTCTTTTCTTTCTTTCTTTCTTTCTTTTTCTCTCTTTCTTCCTCCTTGTTTCTTTTTTCTCTTTCTTTCTTCCGCTTTCTTTCTTCCTCTTTCTCTTTCTTTTGTTCTCTTTCTTTCTTTCTTTCTTTCTTTTCTCTTTCTCTCTTCCTTTCATTCTTTCTCTTTCTTTCTCTTTCTCGTGGAGTTCGTTCCTCGCCGAGTCCTCCACACTTTCGGCCTTGTGCCACATCTAAGCCATGCTTAGAAAATCCTTTTGGGTTCTTAAACATTGTGTAATAGTTAGCAAGCTTTATCTTGAGTAAAAAGTGCTCAATATCAAAGATATTGAGCACTTTTACTCATACAGCCTACTATAAAATCATATATATATATATATATATATATATATATATATATATATATATATATATATATATTACCTACAGCCAAGGTAATACTCACCCACAGTGTTGTGGATATTGAGGGTTCCTATCGAGTTGTTAGCCATAATAAATTCATTAATCTGTGTCTTGTGGAGGCTAGTGATATTTTTGTTTAGTTTTATTTTTTAAATTTATCTTCGTCGATGAGAATAGGGTCAAGTTTTTTGCTTAATTCAACTTTGTATTCTTATTCTAAACGAGACCAACAGCAAGAAAAAACTTGACTCCACACACACACACTCATGTATGTATGTATGTATGTATGTATGTATGTATGTATTTTTTTCAGTGCACCTACTTCGCTGCCGAATGTGGTACAAGGTCAGTTTAAAGTGGGTTTAATGGCAGTACCGTCTAAAAATTGCTTAATCCCCCTAGGTACTTCCCCTTCTGGGGATACCTCAGGCGTCGGCTAATGACCCCAGCTCCCTCCCGAAAGAGATGTACTGCTTTTGTGGATTGGCCCCTCGGGCTTGCGCTTAATATTATTTTCAAACGTGCCCGGCAAAGTGCCACACACACACACACACACACATACACACACACACACATATATATATATATATATATATATCAGTATCTAGTAAAACACCGGTTTCTAACTGTATATGCATCCAATTCCAATCTCTTGAAAAAAATGAGAGCTAAGAACTTTCGAAAAAATTAGACATATATTATATATATTTAATACACACACACACACACACATATATATATATATGTATTATATAATATATTTAAAACACACACACATACATATATATATATATATATAGTGTCTGTGTGTGTGAGTGTGTGTGTGCATTTATATTCAGTCTCTCTTTCTGTCTGCTTGGATTTATGTATATATGTAGGTATGTCGCTATTTGACTGTAAATATATATATTTTGGCGTACGCTTTCTTTTAAGCACGCATACTTTCAGAATTACATCGACTAACAGACAAAATAAGACATAGATTTGTAAGTATATACACACTTAAATTTCTCTCTTGCATTCATATTTTCATATTTGAAAAGACAAGCAGCCAAAAAAAAAGATATACGCATACATGCTTGTTTTGTGAGTTTTCTTTTTCTTCCTCTCTCTCTCTCTCTCTCTATTTCTTCCCTCCTCTTCTGTCTCATGCATAAACACATACGTACATATATATATATATATATATATATATATATATATATATATATATATATATATATATATATATATGTATTCTTGTAATCATTTTAAACTTATTCTCTCTCTCTCTCTCTCTCTCTCTCTCTCTCTCTCTCTCTCTCTCTCTCTCTCTCTCTCTCTCTCTCTTATGCCTTAATATTTTCAAAGAAAAAGAGAGTGAGAGTAAGAACGAAAACAGGAGATAGAATGGTAACCGGGAAAAAAAAATAGACTTCACAAAAGCACTATTTTTTTTTCCTTTTTCTTTAAAAAAAAAAAAGAAAAAAAGAAAAAAAAAGAAATTTCTAAGTTCTACAAACCTGTCCTTTTCTGTAGCATGCCGTCGACGGGCGGCGGTGGATGCATAGGCCGGGCCCAGGTCCTTGAGAGTCCAGGCAGCACGACCGTGTTCAGTAAAACCAGGAACACGACCAACATCACCATGTCCAGCAACCGTAGGAAAGGCCGAAGCCAATCCTTCCTTCTTGGAGACTCGTCTGAACGATGCCGAGAAAACGAGCAACCATGGCGATACTCCCGCTGCTGCTGCTATGCACATATAACGGCGACGACCACGATGATGATGATGCTGATGATGATGATGATGATGGAAGTTAATGTCGTTGTGATGGTGGTCGGGGTGGAACTTGACTCTCCTCTTACTCTACTCTTTTCTTTCTCTCTCTTTAATTCGTTCTTTTCGAACTACTTTTTTTTTTCTCCCACTTCTTTTTCTTTCCACTTTCTCTTCCTGAGATTTCTGCTTTTTTTTTTTGTTGTTTTTTTTTTGTTTTTTGTTTTGTTTTATTTTTATTTTATTTTGTTTGTTTACGTATTTATTTATTTTCGTAGATCGCCGTTACGAGACTGTACCGAACTCCACTGACGGCGGGAAACAGCATCACCCTGGTTCAATTTTTTGGGCTATTTGTACCCAATGTTCGTTTCCTTTGTTTTTGTTTTTTTCTTTTTGCTTTTGCTGTTGTTGTTGTTGTTGTTGTTGTTGTTGTTGTTGATGATGCTAATGATGACTTTATTTTATTTCTATTTGGGGGCCCGTTCTGGAATTGAATGAACCGATCTCCCAGAAGCAGTGACGATACCACTCGCCGTCTGCAACGAAAGTCGGAATCAGTTCGGGTGTGGTCGGTGCTGTATATACGCGCACAGACACACACACACATAAACACACACACACACACACACACATATATATATGGGGAGAGAGGTGGCCTGATGTAACGTCTCCTCCTGAACTGTAAAATTTTATTCGCTAATTAAATCTTGACCTCTCCAAGTCTAGAATTATCTGTCTCTATTTCCTGTACTCGTGGCTTTTCTTATGCTAATACAACTCTACACAGTAACCCTCTACATTGAGTGACCCTTGGGCCTTGCATTGGGTGAACATTATTAAAAAAATACGTTTAAACATGAAACCGACTGTCGCCGAATGTCCACTTTTAGATTTTAGATTTACATATGCTCTATCCCTTTAATTCATAAATATAGCATACTTTAAAAGTACATTTTATCACACACACACACACACACACACACACACACATATATATATATATATATATATATATATATATATATATATATAAAGATAACGATATATATTTTATATATCAGGAACAATATTGGAAAAAATGTATGACAAAGTAGAAAAAGGTTTCTTATGACGTGTTTCATCCTTCAGAACTTCATCGGACAAAATTTGTTATGTTAGTGCGACTACGCATGCGCGCGAACGAGGGATGCTGGGAATTTTGAATTTAATTTTTTTTTTTAATCGGCTAGAAAGTTGTCAGAAATGACGCAGCTTCCCCTATTTCACTATCATATTGTCTGAAGCTACGAACTTAAATGTAAAAATTAAATGAATCAGATTAAAACAAAAAAAATCAACATTCAATGAAAGTTTGTTTTTAAAATTTTCCCTAAGAATCTGAAGATACGGAATTTGATGGTAATTAACTGTTTCCTTATAAGGAAACATTCGGTGTTCATTGACAGAACAGCCAGTGCTACAGTCTGTAAAAATTTATGAAATATTTCTATTAAAACAACTTTTTCTCAAGTCCAGTAACTGTTATTGTTCTTTCCAGTACTGATAGAGATTCCATTCCTAATCTTTTATTCGATGTAGTGTAGAATGTCAATAACTTGATTATGCCATTATTTTCTCTTCGAGTTACATGTGATATCCATTTTAGCTGTTCGAAAAGGGATTGTCTTCTCTAAAATCTACAAGCTTCATCCGCTCGAATGATGAGGATGTTCAAATTGATTGTTTTATTTTTATTATTATTTGAAAAATACTATTATTATTATTATTATTATTATTATTTCCTTTGATTTCTAGTGTGTACTCATTGTCCCGACCAGAGACCTAAGGTCACGAGAATAAATAGGCTATCTTCTAGCCAAAAAATCTTTAATGATAATAAATTTATATACAATCAGGCCCTCAAAAATAGTGGTTTTAGACAAGAATTAAGCTTTAATGGAGAACTTGTAAATCAGAATAATAACA